TGAGTTTTGCAATACATTAGTTAGAATTTGAAACAATCAGTCCCTTTTATGAATTTGGAAGACGTAGATTATCTGAACAATGTGTGATGCATTAGCGCTATACATTCCAAACAATCTGATCACACGTTTACTTGTTAAGGCATTATATATGAAAACTGGAAGTGGGGGAAGGATAAATATGACATAAAGGAATTCAATAATAAGAAAGATAATGAGAGGAATAAAAGATAAGACTTGAAGACAATCTTGGTAGTACGATAAAATAAGCATTACCAAGGTAGGCTTAATGTAAGGACAAACTGTTTTCGCACATACAATGATGGGCTAAATTTATTTATGGCTAGCGCCTCAACAAACTTAAGTATACGCCCCTGACAGTTGCTATACAAAATTGTAAAGGCTGTTTTAATATCAATCCAGTGACCTCTTATGAATGATATGTTTTGTAATGGATGCGGATGATGGTTGTCTGCCATCTGCGCTTATCAATGTATGTGAATCCAGCTGCTTTCGTAGCCATTTTTGAACATGTTCCCCTACCCTCAAGTGCATATCACGATTAGTCCTCCCTATGTATGTTTGTCCACACACACATGTAAATTTATAAACGCAGTGGGATGTGACGCAATCGTTTATACAGCATTGAGGTTAAGGTTGCAGCAATTGTTTGGTTTTCTCAACTATGACAAGCTTAGCTGCATAGTACGTTTTGCTAACAGCAGACCTTAACCTTCGTTTTAATATTATGATGTTAGATCCTCCTTTGTATGGTAACGCCTTTCTTCAGAACGGAGTACAGATCAGATTTGAATCCTTGCTGATTTTTGCAGCGGTTAGTATTTTGACATCATCCATTGAGTCTTCCGTACAAATACACTGGATCCTTTTAAATAGGCAAGTTAGCAAACCTCACTTGTATTGGGTTGGACAAAAGCTATGGAAACTTAAATACTGACCTGTCCAAGTAGGTTTCCTGTAGATCGACTGTTTTATTGAACCATCATTTCTGCGACTTAGGAGTATATCCAAGAATGGCAGACGGTTTTCTTTTTCTTCTTCACTTGTCAGGCTTATGTTGTTTTGTACGTTGTTAAGTCTTTCTAACAAACATGTTGCATCTTCATGCTTATCACATATGACGATTATATCATCGACATATCTTTTATAGAGAGTAACTTTATTGATGAAATCGCCGGTCAAGCCTTCAGTGTGTGACATGTAAATATCAACTAGCAATGGTCCTTAGGGACTTCCAATGGCTACACCATCTATTTGTCAAAAATGTTCACCTTCAAATGTGAAAAAAAAACTTTATCAGTACACAATAACAACAGCTCTCTCAAACACGTTAAGGGGATAGGGAAAGAAGGATTATATTAGTTAAAAATCTTATGTATTCGATTTTACGCACAAAACGAGTGGTTGATTAATTTATCGATGAATAACATGATCAGTTTGATTTCGAATTTCTGGAAAGAAATTCACCAATCATATATGAGGATATGAACCTGTTCCTCGATTATATTTAAAAATCTCCGATTCAGTGACAATGTAATCAGTCTTACGCCACAGACTGATGTATTATGCAACTAAGGTTCACTTGAGAAATGCTACTCAAACAAAAGACAAGCCATATAGTCCTACTTAATCCGAACGTCTTGAAAATCAGCTGTTCCTGTGGAAAAAAGCGGAAGTATTCTGCTTAGATGGTTCATTCAACAATCTGTTGTTTTCGATATAAAATCAATATGAAGCTCAATTTTAGCCTATATGGCAAACAGTAACCATGAGACAAGCAAGACCAAAGTCATCAGTATAACCCTTCTCATACTAGTGACTGTGGACTTTCGATGCAGATGGTGCGTGCAACCCCAACTTCCACCCTGGCTACGTGAGTTTTGACAGAAAAATTAACCCTGGGTTGTTTAATGGTGAAGTTTTCGTCGTCTTTCTAGACACTAACTTCAATATGAAGTGAGCTGTCAATATCTCTCCGTGAGTGATTTAGTACCTTGACCTGACCAACTGATTTGCGATTGGTTGTTTCTTTTTGACTGTTGTGTCATTGACTGACTCTACAGATTTTTCTGTTACCACTGTTCCTCTGCTTCATCTCTGACCTTTCTATCGTTTATCATTTTTCTTATCGGTTGGTAGATTGGGTCTATGTCTATACATCTATTGATTGCTGACTGACTGATGTGAATGTCAAGCTTCTAGGAATTCTCTCATATTCCTTGTCTTTCCTCTCTCCGTCCAAAATTTCTACATTGTCGAAATTGATTAGCCATTTGTACAATAATAATCCCTTCACTACTCTCCTCGATCAGCAAATATATAGACAAAATTAGTTATCGTTTGCAAGATAGGAAGCCGTTTCTAGGTGAGTCAAATCGGTTTAATTTAATGCCAAAAACTAGTAACCCCAGTAGAACGTATGGTACTATTAAGATTTACAAGTCAGGATATCCAATCAGGCTTGTAGTAAATTTTGGTGCTAGGTCCAATAAGAAATTATTCGAAATCTCGACTTATTAACTCTTATGACTTAAAGTATAGATTAGACGACGTAACTAGCCTTTACACAAATATACCGATTGACATGGTTCTACAGGCAGTTAGAAATGGGCTTAAAGATGACAAAGAACTCACGCATCGAACTAAGGTGCCGATCGAAGAAATTATACTAGGAGTAAGATTGTGCCTAACATCTACACTTTTTAAGTTTCAAAATAAAATATACAGACAAACTGAAGGGGTTGTCATGGGATCACCATTATCTCCTATTGGTGCAGACATATTTTTAGAAAGTTGGGTACGGATGGCCTTTCAAACATTGACGCCTACTCCAAAGATATGATTCCGATACGTACATCATACGTTTACAGTACTGACATAAGAACACACTAATAGGTTCTTGGCACATATAAATTCAGTAGTGAATGCAATCCAATTTACCTGTGACTTAGAAAGTGAAGATGAGCTAGCAATGTTGGATTGCAGGATTAAACGAACACAAGAAGGAAATCTAGAGAAAAGTGTCTATAGGAAACCTACGCAATCGAATGAGTACTCAGACTTCCAATCATCCCACCCCATTTCAGTTAAAGTAGGCCTAGTTAAATGCTTAAGTGATACAGCGAAAAAGGTTACTAGAAGATCAGAAAATCTGCGACAAGAGATTAGACACATCGAGAATACCCTACGTCTCAATAATTACCAACCTACATTCATCAATAAATTCATGAGAAGTCGAAAAAAAACATTCATAGTGGTGGTAGTATTAGTAATACAGATGTTATGAATAACAATTCCGCTACTAATGGTAATAATGGTGACAGAGTTAAGAGAGAATTCAAAGCCTCTGTTGTGTCACCATACAAGGAAGACACCTCAGAAACATTATGAAGAATTCTCAATAAGGTTGGTCGGGATTTGGGTGGCATTTAAACCAAAAAAACTCGCTTAGAAACATGCTTTGTAGGTGGGAAGATACTATTGTTCCAATAATGCTAAATAACTTCGTTTACCAGATCTCTTGCGACGATTACAATGTCAAAGTAGTTGACCTAGGTCAATGAGCATAGCAGAGCACAAAATGGTGAGATTCAGTATAGCGTGGTTAAGATGAGGATAATGTGTGTGGGCATACATCTGCACCACTGACATCGCTTCTCAGCCATGTCATCACCTAGAGTCAGTCTCCAACCACTGGTTCCTCTTGTCCCACCGACTCCAACCACCTAGTCTGCATCGCCCCATATGGCTCAAACCAACAGTCAAACACTTCATACATTGGTGCCATGTTTAGTCTGGCCACCTCGGACCTTTTTCCAACCTGGACTCACCTCAGCCAACATTGTGTGACGAGGTAATCGGCTACTAGACACACGTAGCACATGTCGAAGGTGACCACCTCGGTCGATGAAGGTTCATAACCTCGCCAACTGATTTACCTCTACTTCCTAAAACTCTATTGATCTTAGGTAGGAATTCATCATGCAGTGACATAAGTTGGATGAACATTGAAAATCTAGGGGCACTGGACAGTTGTTTCATCCCACTAGTATGCGTCTCCTAGGCAGTGCGTACCCATGAACCCCGCCAGGGTAACACATGCTGACCACAGAACCTGAAGGTACTGGTTTCAATCGCTGGCCAGTGTGCACTGCTAAGGAGTCCCATACTTGTGGGATGAAACAGCTCCCTAGTCTTCCTTCATGGTGAATTCCAACTTAAAAACAGACAGATATTTATAAAATCCATTCAAACTGCTGATAAATTTATGAAAATAACGAGCCTCTATAATAACTTGAAATTATCCATAAGACAAAACAAGGGAATAATCGAAAACAACAAGTAAATCATTGTCATCAATAACTGCAAAAAAATGTGAATAAACATACAAAAACATATTTCAACAAACATGGCAAGAAATAATCTTCCAAAACGATGAACATACAACACATACTTCGGCTCTCATGATTATTGTTTTTATCATTATAAACAGTAGTAGTAGTGGTAGTATTGGTTGTAGTAGTGGAGTGAGTAGTAGTAGTAGTAGTGTGAGTAGTAATAGTGGTGGTAGTAGTGTGAGTAGTAGTAGTAGTAGTAGTGGAGTGAGTAGTAGTAGCGGTGGTGTGAGTAGTAATAGTAGTGTGAGTAGTAGTATCGGTAGTAGTAGCGGAGTGAGTGGTAGTAGTACTAGTAGTGGTATTGGTAGTAGTAGTGGAGTGAGTAGTAATAGTAGTGGTAGTAGTGTGAGTAGTAGTAGTAGTAGTAGTGTGAGTAGTAATAGTAGTGGTAGTAGTGTGAGTAGTAGTAGTGTTGGTAGTAGTAGTAGCGGAGTGAGTAGTATCAGTAGTGGTGGTAGTAATAGTAGTAGTAGCGGAGTGAGTAGTAGTAGTACTAGTAGTGGTAGTAATGATAATAATAATAATAGTAGTAGTAGTAGTAGTAGTAGTAGTGGTAATAGTGTGCTAGCATAAGTAATATCTTTTTTACAAGTATTGAAAATGATTTGGATGAGTGTACAAAAAGGAATTCAAATTACTCATTGTACATAAACCGCTGAGAGTATGATGCATTGAAATTTCTATACTATTTTCAAATGCTCTGAAAGTATAATTGAAGAAAAGAAAAGAGATTAAAAATCAGTTAATATTTGTTTTTAACTACTCCTTAACACCATCATATACTTTCAAGGTCATGAAATATTTTCCCAATTCCTCCTCCCAAAAGAACATGAATAGTTAGGGAAATATTCATATTATGTATAGTAATGATGGGCAGTGTCTAACAGTGGAATCCAAGGTGCGCATTTCGTCCTATTTGGGACTCATCAGCTGCTACTCACTATCCATCATTACTACCATTAGAGCACCGGTAATATCAAGGCATCCGCACATGAACCTATATACTAACAGAGACTGATCAATGCAGTCCAATCAATGACAATGTCATAATTCCATATTAGATTTGTTTGTTTGATTGATAACACACAGTAAGTGATACAGTATTATTTACTTAATGACGACGTTATGAATACTACTTATCACTGCTTATAGTCATATCAATGTGTAATCATACAGCACTTTCAATAGTTGATTCTATATAGTTATATCCCTTTATATGAGTGTTGTTTTTATTGGTAGCAAAATTTTCCATATCTCTGGTGTAGGTGTTGCATCATTTCTATTACACATGTGTTGGTTGGATGTTGATTCGATGAATAAAGATTCACTCATCAATCTCTTCCTTTCACTCCACCTAATTATATTGAACTTGAGTACAGTGGTACTATCCCGCTTCACCCTATTGTGCGATTGTGTGTGTTAATGTATGCATTGCCAGAGTTGGAGTCATTTTTTCTAGATTATTGATTTCGTTGGGTTCTATCATCCCAGATTTAGCTGATTCCGATCGGTTAGTTTGACCTATGTACTTGATTAGGTCATTTTGATTAATTGGTTCTATCGGATCCTTAAGACAACCGATAGAGGTTATCATTTCTTTGTCCAGTGTTTTATACGTTGTACTCAGTTCCTCTTTTCGTTGTTCTCATCTCTCCACCACACTGGTTTATCTTCTGCTTTACCATCTCCCTCTCTTCTATCAGCTTCCATATGTCTATCGAGATCCATTCCTTGTTTTGTCTTGTTTCCTCTTCCTTTGTAATACGGTTTTTTTTCCACATGTCGTTCAGTGTCAGATACTCGAAGTCAACAATTGATCCTAATATTCTGTCAAAGTGCCACTGCACACACTAATATAGATGTAAAACTTCGGCACTGTAGTAGAATTTAATTCCATATTAGATTTGTTTATTTGATTCATAACCCAGAGTGATACAGTATGATGTATATGATGACGTTCCAAGCATAAATTATCATCGCTCATCACCATATCAATGTAATCATACACCACTCTCGACATCTGATTTCCATAGTCCTGTCACCTCACAATCTTTCGTTTTATTGGTGACAAAATTCTCCGTATCTCTGGTATATATGTTGCGACATTCCTGTTACATGTCTTCCACGGGCGTCGATTCGATGAACAAAGATTCAGTGATCAATCTTTTACTCTTACTCCACCTAATTATATTGCACTGAAGTACAGTGGTTTCACACACCACCCTATTGTGCTGTAGTGTGTTAATGCAGGCATAGCAATAGCCGAGTGCTTTCCTACATTATTGATCTTATTTAGGTCTGTTACTTTATATTTAGCTAAATTCCCATTTTCGGCTATTCTAACTGACCCCGATCAACTAGTTTGACCTATGTACTTGACCCCACTCACAGTCATTACATGGAATTTAATAGATTAGATTATTTTGCATAAGCCGACAAAAATTATCTCTAAGTGAGTTTGTAGGTCTTCGAATGCCACCCTAATTTCAGCTCTGTTGAGGATTCTACGTAAAGTTTCTGAGGTACCTTCCTTATAGGGTAACATAATGGAGGCTATGTACTCCATTTTTCTCGTGTTGTCGTTACTAGACGCACTTATGTGATTATTATTTTTCCATTTTTTCTGTGTCTATAAGAATTTTTTTAATAAACTGCGGAGGATGATTATTAACTATTAGCGCTTCTTTTACGGGTTTCAATTCCTTGTTTAGGTTCTTGCTATGACTAGTCAGTTTTCTAGCTGTATCATTTAGACATTTGATTGATCCTGCCTTAACTGACTGACATTGGATGGGATGATCTGAAGTCTAGATACCTGTTACAGTGTGTCAGTATCTCGTAGACAGTAGTACCGAAGCCACCATCTGTTCTTCGTTTTATTCTGCAATCTAACATAGGTAATTCTCCTTGTTCATTTTCTAGCTCCTCGTTAGTGAATTGGGTTGCGCCTACTACGAGTTTATATGTGTGAGGAAATTGTCGATATGTTCCGATTTCAACGCAGTAGTGAATGTGTCATCCACATATTGCCACCATATTTTTGGTGTAGCACTAAACGTTTGTAAAGCCATGTTTTCCCAACTATCCATAAATATATCTGCTACTATTGGGGATATTGGCGATCCCATTGCTACTCCTTCTGTTTGTCTGTATATTTTATTCTAAAACTTGAGTTTGACTAATATTGAGTTCAAGATCCCTCATAATTAGTTATCCAATGACTAACTGAAGTTCAAAAATAGCAAGCCTGAGAAAACGAGACAGGTTCTTGACCTAAGTCTCGGGGATGCATTGACGAGATTTTCACCCTCCTACAGATTCTGGAACACAGACACATTTGCCATATTTCTTGACCTGAGGGTGGTGTTTGACTCAGTCGATTATGAGGTGTTGTGACAGTCTCTGATTGTGAAGCGAATACCTAGGAAGTATATATACCGGTAATTGAACCCCTCTACTCGAACTCATGCAGTCGTGTCACCCACTTATGGAGAGTTGTTATCTAAATTGACGACAACTAGTTTGTGATGTCAGCCAATGATGCCCACTAGTTACCGTTCCAAATTAACTTCATCATAGATGCAGTTCACCTAGTTGACTTGGAATATGAAGACCATATTGTCCTGAAAGGTGAAAAAGCTAACAAAATGTAAGGTTTTCTGGACATGTTAACCAGAGCTCTGAGTATGTTTGGCATATGTTTTGCTGTTACCTGTCAAATGTCACATGATGCTAAAGGACTGGTCTGCGACCACTTCCAACCTTATTGATAGGGAGTGAAATGGTGGCATGTGTCGACTACTTCACTTACTTACTTGAGAGCTACATCAATCCGAACAGGCTGGTTGCTGACGAAATCTGAGCTCAAATGAAAAAGGCACAATTGGCATTTGTCAACTTACGTTACCTGTGGCGTCGGCAAGACATTCGGACGAGTATACTACGCTGCCATTCCTTCTATCCTGTTGTATAGATATGAGACATGCCCGTTAAAAGAGATATGCAGCGAATACAGCGTTCCGACTATGGATGTCTCCTTAGTATTGCTTGCGTTGCTGGAATCACTGTAAAAGCAATGTTCAGGTCAGACGAAGTGTACTAGACAAGACAGGCGAGTCGATTGATAAGGTTGTGAACCTTAATTGACTGAGATAGCTTGGACATGTACTGTGCATGCCGAACCACTCCCTACCTAGATGTCTCATCCTACGGAAAGTTGGATTAGGTTAAAAGAGGGTTCAGTGTCGTCAGACCAAGACGTAACACCAGTCGATGAAGTCTCTGAATGTTGGTCTGAGTTGTATAGAGAGACATGGAGTGCCAACGTAAAGTCCTGGAGACGAAAGGGATTACAGTAGTTGAAGACTCTTGGTGACATGGCGGAAGATCGGTCACAATGGTGCTCGAATATTCGCAACAACTATTGTCTTCAGATTATTATTCTCTTGCACTCCTTTTCCATCACCTGTTCTTTGAGTACTACTAATGTGAAGGGAGGCAACTTGAGTCGATTTTGTCAGTTAGTCAGGGGGCGTAAACCAATCGGAATGCAGTCAGTAGGCTTGTATGCATTTGCGCAGCGATGAGGGTTAATAACACTACTTGACAGGCTGCTCAAACCTCGGTAGGTAGATCGGTGTTTCAACTTGTGACTCATAGCTCCACTGAACAACGAGTTGCTTCAACTACATATTAATGAGGAAGGCAACTGTGTAAAAAGTTCTATTGCTTACAACTCTACCACAGTATTTATCGTTATAAATAATGATTCAAAACAGGAGAGCGATTTCATTGGTGCTAATTTTTGTTGCTTACTTCATACTCGTCATTTCCAAGGCCATATTTGTGCTAACTGGTGACCTCCAGTTAGTGTCGTTTTGTGTGTGCTTTATTGCTTCATATCAAATGTAAAACAAGAGAGAAGGTTGTAAACAAAACGATAAGGATTGTAACTACTCACAATGTATGTGTTTGCAACGAACTGGGGCACAACCTTGTCAATCATTCGGGGAAAAAATTGAAGTGCTAATGTGTTTAAAAGGGGGTTAGGGTAGTTAATCCAATTTACACGTATCTAATAGTCTAGTATAGTTAATGAAGACTGAATCAATCAACCAATCAATATCAACATAGGATCAGGCATTACTGCGTAACACTCCGAGTTGCCACACCTCATCTCATATCAGTACACATCAAGTAGAAAGGCAGTGAGGTGAAGGATGAAGATAAGAGAATGCAGTCAAAAGAAATATAAAATACGAGAAGAAAGAGAAGAGGAATGACAAAATGGTGAGATTCAGTATAGCGTGGTTAAGATGAGGATAATGTGTGTGGGCATATATCTGCATCACTGACATCCGTTCTCAACCATGTCATCACCTAGAGTCAGTCTCCAACCACTGGTTCCTCTTGTCCCGTTGACCCCAACCACCTAGTCTGTATCGCCCCATATGGCTCAAACCAACAGTTGAACACTTCATACATTGGTGCCATGTTTTAGTCTGGCCACCTCGGACCTTTTTCCAACCTGGACTCACCTCAGCCAACATTGTGTGACGAGGTAATCGGCTACTAGACACACGTAGCACATGTCGAACGTGACCATCTCAGTCGATGAAGGTTCATAACCTCGTCTACTGATTTACCTCTACTCCCTAAAACTCTATCTATACCTTACTTCTGCATTACTCATGCGGTGACACCAAGGAATACGGCCACCTATACTACGAAGGTAACGGTGGTCAAACACTTGAAGGCAGCCTTATCATGTCTTCCACTTTCAATGGCCATGTTTCACAGCCATACAGTAGAACAGAGTGGACTGCTGTGCAGTACATGCGACCCTTAATCGACAATCGGATATCACGGCAGTCCCATAGGTGGCGTAAATTGGCCAAAGCCAATCGAGCCATTTGTATCCGTGCCGAAATCTCATCGGCAACTAACCCACCAGGGTTGATCCTACTTCCCAGGTAAGTGAAGTGGTCAACACACTCAACCACTTCACTCTCTATTGTTAGCCGCGGCACCGCTGAAGATCAGTCCTGGAGGAAAAATTTGCATTTAGGTGGTGAGAAACGCATCTCAAACCTTTTCAAACTGCCACTCAAAGTGTTCAGAAGACTCTGAATCTTATCAGCGTCTTCACTTAACAGGACTATGTCATCTGCATACTCTAGGTCTAACGAAAATTCTCATGTGATTAGGTCAACATCTGTGTAATTAGGTGACGACAGGGAGACCTCCATAAGTATGTCCATGATAAAATTAAATGAGAATGGAGATAGTGAGCATCCTTGATGGACACTATTCGATGAGTATACCTCCCTAATGAAGATTGAATAGGGTTATAGGAATTGCATTCATATATTATTTTATTACTATATCATATTGTATATTTATGCATAACTTACTGAATATTGCTGGAATGAATACTCGACTTCAATTCACGTAAAGATTCTTGTATACTTGAACAATCATAGGTGGATTCTTCATTTTCACTTAGAGAACGAATTTGTACAAGTAAACTAATAAGTTTAGTGATCAAATCGACTGTCTTTAGATTGCGAAACTTTTGAGCCTGTAATAAGAAAAAAATATTTTTAGAACAAAAATTTAAGGATAATGTAACACGAAAGTATAATATATCATCGAACTATGAAGGTATTGTGTATACAGATATATACACCAACTGTTGGAAACATTTGAAATCAACTGCTTAAGACACTGAACGAAACATACTCAACAAGCCACGGCTAGTGATCTACCTGGCTGGCCAAACTTCAATATGTGGAGCGGGGTTCGAACTCATGACTCATTGGTTGATTATCATCTCCCTTAACTACAGTAAGTCGCAACTCCCCTCCAAGACTCTAGGGGGAGATCATTCCAATTCCTCTCCATCACCGTGACCATCTGTCGAAGTTTGTACCATCACAAAATTGATGTTACTTGAATTGGTGATCTCTTATGCTGTACTGATGTGCACACTTTCATTGCTCTGTGGACGTAATTGTGAAACTAGTAAAACGTACTCAAATATTTATTGTAGTAATATTTCTTAATAAAATGATCTAAGAAGGACTTGATTCCCAGATTAATTTTCGTATTGATGAGTGGTGGTGGGGTTATGCTGCTTGAAACTAACAGGACATTTGAGTTACAGCAGAATTTGAAGTAGTAACCATCAGAATACCAACTATGCATGCTCTGCCTGTTAAGCTAAGATGTTCTGTTACAAAACATTATGCCTCAATTTCGATGTTCACTTTAAAAGTTGCGAAGTGGTTGAGTGCCTGGGAAGCAGGATCAGCCGTACCTTGGTGGTTCAGTTGCCGATGAAATCTCTGCACGGATACAAATGGCTCGATTGGCTTTGGCCAATTTACCCCACCTATGGGACTGCCGTGATATCCAATTGTCGATTAAGGGTCGCATGTACTGCACAGCAGTCCACTCTCTTCTACTGTATGGCTGTGAAACATGGCCATTGAAAGTGGAAGACATGATAAGGCTGCCTTCAAGTGTTTGACCACCGTTACCTTCGTAGTATAGGTGGCCGTATTCCTTGGTGTCACCGCATGAGTAATGCAGAAGTAAGGTATAGATAGAGTTTTAGGGAGTAGAGGTAAATCAGTAGACGAGGTTATGAACCTTCATCGACTGAGATGGTCACGTTCGACATGTGCTACGTGTGTCTAGTAGCCGATTACCTCGTCACACAATGTTGGCTGAGGTGAGTCCAGGTTGGAAAAAGGTCCGAGGTGGCCAGACTAAAACATGGCACCAATGTATGAAGTGTTCAACTGTTGGTTTGAGCCATATGGGGCGATACAGACTAGGTGGTTGGGGTCAACGGGACAAGAGGAACCAGTGGTTGGAGACTGACTCTAGGTGATGACATGGCTGAGAAGCGATGTCAGTGGTGCAGATGTATGCCCACACACATTATCCTCATCTTAACCATGCTATACCGAATCTCACTATTTTGTCATTTCTCTTTTCTTTCTTCTCGTATTTTATATTTCTTTTGACTGCATTCTCTTATCTTTATCCTTTACCTCACTGCCTTTCTACTTGATGTGTACTGATATGAGATGAGGTGTGGCAACTCGGAGTGTTACGCAGTAATGCCTGATCCTATGTTGATAATGATGATGATTTTGAAATTCTAGGAGAACATCTTAATCCTTTTTTTAAACAGATTGAAACTATATGTTCCCTTGTTTTACTTTATTTCAAAGTGGTATGCATCATGAAATGACGTTAATTTGACGCGAACTAAAAACAAAAGTTGGGAGCATTGGATAGTCGTTTTGCTCGCAGTATTGGAACTCTTCACAACGAAGCACATGATTGCCCTATCTAGTTTTCGGTGGCTTTTTCAAATGATGTCGGATTATGATGCATAATCACTTTGTAAGCAATCAACTAATCAGTTACCAAAGACCACTATGGGATACTTCTAAAAAATTGTAGTTTTTCTTGGCCTTAATGGATGAGTCTACGATTCAAATTTCACACCGGCTACTTCGGATTGTGTAGTCGCATATTGGTGTTGATTGACATCAACTGGTCCAGTGCAAAACTGTGCCAATGAACTCGGTAAACGTACATACATACACACACACATACATACATACATACATACATACATACATACATACATACATACATACATACATACATACATACATACATACATACATACATACATACATACATACATACATACATACATACACACATACATACATACACACATACATACATACATACATACACACATACACACATACATACACACATACATACATACATACATACATACATACATACATACACACATACACACATACATACACACATACATACATACATACATACATACATACATACATACATACATACATACATACATACATACATACATACATACATACATACATACATACATACATACATACATACATACATACATACATACATACATACATACATACATACATACATACATACATACATACATACATACATACATACATACATACATACATACATACATACATACATACATACATACATACATACATACATACATACATACATACATACATACATACATACATACATACATACATACATACATACATACATACATACATACATACATACATACATACATACATACATACATACATACATACATACATACATACATACATACATACATACATACATACATACATACATACATACATACATACCATATATACCATACCATACATACCATACCATACATAGCATACCATACATACGTGCCATACATACCATACCATACCATAGATACATACATACACGTCCATGTAGTAGGCAATGAGTTATACCTATTGTTGTATGAAGGATAATGATATTACCTGATCACTTACACTTCGGTCGAAAGTCAAGTACCTAGATTGATGAGTCAAAAACTATTCAACAGGCATATATATATATAGACACTAGACTTTAACTCACCTGCATACTTTTAATTCGTGTAACAATTTCATAGGCATCTTCATCACAACGCTGTTTGAAATCAGCTGCTTGTTCCAATGGTGCTACACCATGTTCTTGTGCAATCTAATAAACAAAAGAAATATGCATAGATAGGATACTTGGATAAAATACAACAGATAAGAATGGTAAAAGATAACGTTTATCTTATTGAAGATAAGAAAAACTATCTAATGAATTATTAACTCAATTCTCTCTACTCCGCAAAGTCCATTCAACTTTTCATGAAGTAGAGAATACTAATGTGTCAATAGGGAACAGTTTCAAACATGTTTATAAACCAGAAGATATAAAGTATAACTGTTAGATGAATATACAATTTGAAAAATCTAGTCAGTGGTTGAGTAATGAATTATAGATTTTCGATAGCGTAATTAGAAGATGAAGTTTATCTGAACAATGTGGGTGATGTATTTGCACAATACAACATTTCCAACAATCTGCTCGATCAAACATTTACTTGTCTCAAGTCAATATACCTTAAACCGAGGACTGGAGGGAAAGGGGGAAAAATAAAACAATAATTAACACAACAGAGGATTAAAATTAAGAAAGATGAGGACAAACAGGAAGTGATATAGTTGATCCTAATGTTGGTAAGAAAACAAATTTTACCAAGGGGTAGGTGTAGTGAAAGAACAAACTGTTTTTCTACATATTAAGGTGGTTTACATTTATGTATGGCTATGGCTTCCACAAATCTTAGAATACATCCCTGACTGACTGTTTCTATAAAGAACTTTGAAAGCTGTTTGAACGTTAATTCTGCGACCTGTTTCTATGACATGTTTAGCCATAGATAAAGAGAGTCTTCTCCCACCAGCGTTTATTACTGTTTCACACTCCATTTGTTGTCGAAGCCATTTAGGCACATGTTCTACCACCACCAACTGCATTGCCCAATTTCTCCTCCCTCATGTATGTGTGACCACACACACATGTAAATTGGTAAACACAATGGGATGTGACGTAATCACTGATGTAGTGTGTAGGTTTTCGGTGAAGTATGTGTTTTGTTTCTTCCACAATGGTAAGATTTGCCGCGTAATATGTTTTCCTAATTGGGTCATGTCAGTCTGCGTCTCAAAATGATACTATTTAACTCCCTCCTGTATAGTGGAGTGACATGGACGCTTTTCTTAGGGACCGCGTATAGAGTTGCCTTTGGTGCTACTTGACCTCTACGATGGTTTATAAACTTCGTCGGATATCCATTTTCCATGAGTGCTTTGCTCAGTAATTTGATGTCTTCATTCATCGCATCTGGTGTACTGATACAATAGATCCTATTAAACAGGCATTTTATTAGACCTCGCTTGTATTGGATTGGACAAAAACTGTGAAAATTCAGGTGTTGTCCTATCCATGTAGGCTTTCTGTAAACTGACCGTCTTATTGAACCATCTTCTAATCGACTCGGAAGTATATCTAGGAATGGCAGTTGATCATTATTCTCTTTCTCACAAGTCAGGCGGATGTGTGTTTGTACGGCGTTGTCTATTCAGTAGACAAGCCATATCCTCATGCGTCTCACAAATCACTATGATATCATCAACATATCTCTTGTAAAGAGGAAGTTTAGCGATGAGAACACCAGCCAGATTTTCGATATATAACATATAAATATCAGCTAGTAGTGGTCCTAATGGACTACCCATAGCTACACCGTCAACTTGTCGAAAGTGTTCACCTTCAAATGTGTGGTGGACTTTGTCGGTACACAACAATAATAACGATTAGCGTTCTGTGTGACTACATATCTCCTAGAAACCTCCCATTTCCTATTACTCCAGCCTTTTTGAAGGAGTTACTTGAATTTTCACAGTTTTTGTCCAATCCAATACAAGCGAGGTCTAATAAAATGCCTGTTTAATAGGATCTATTGTATCAGTACACCAGATGCGATGAATGAAGACATCAAATTACTGAGCAAAGCACTCATGGAAAATGGATATCCGACGAAGTTTATAAACCATCATAGAGGTCAAGTAGCACCAAAGGCAACTCTATACGCGGTCCCTAAGAAAAGCGTCCATGTCACTCCACTATACAGGAGGGAGTTAAATAGTATCATTTTGAGACGCAGACTGACATGACCCAATTAGGAAAACATATTACGCGGCAAATCTTACCATTGTGGAAGAAACAAAACACATACTTCACCGAAAACCTACACACTACATCAGTGATTACGTCACATCCCATTGTGTTTACCAATTTACATGTGTGTGTGGTCACACATACATGAGGGAGGAGAAATTGGGCAATGCAGTTGGTGGTGGTAGAACATGTGCCTAAATGGCTTCGACAACAAATGGAGTGTGAAACAGTGATAAACGCAACGGCAGAATTACCACTGAACACAGGCACTCCGACAAAAGTAGAAGTCCTGAATGCCACAAAACTGCAGAAATTAGGGAAAGCAGCAAGACCAGATGGAATTCCTCCAGAAGCACTGAAAACAGACGCAGAGACAACAGCGGACATACCCACACCACTATTGCATAAGGTTAGGAAGGAAGGAAAGGTACCTGGACATTGGAAGCAGGGCTGCCTTGTCTAACTTTCAAAGAGGGGAGACCTAAGTCTCTGCAAGAACTGGTGAGAAATCATGCTGCACCCATGTCCACCCTAAGTAAAATATTATGCCGCATCATACTGGAGAGACTAAACAATGCTCTGCACTCAAAATTACGACTGAAACAGGCTGGCTGACTTCAAGAAGAACAAATCATGTGCGGACCAAATCGCAACGCTACTCTACGCATCATCATAGAACAGAGTATAGAATGGCAGTCAACTCAACTCCATCTCAACTTCATCGACTTTGAAAAGATCTTTGACAGCGTCAACCGAGAAGTAATTTGGCAGACAGTTGCTTCAACACTACGGAATACCACAAACTTTTATCAATCCCATTCAACAACTAGATGAAGACGCCACATGTCAAGTAATTCACAATGGGAAGAAAGTTCAGTGATCCCTTTGAAGTGAAGACAGGAAGGAGTAAGACAAGGCTATCTACTATCATCCATGAATATTACTGATTGTGGCCGACTGGATCATGCAGCAAACAGTGAGGAGCGAGAAGATGGGCATAGGCTGGCTGGACCGATGAGAAGACCCTAGAAGATTTGGGTTTTGCCGATGACTTATGTTTAGTGTCGTGCAAACTCGAAGACGTATAGGCAAAATGCAACAAATTGAAAGAAGAGGTGAGGCAGCGAAAACGGGACTTCAAGTGAATGTAAAGAAGACAGAAGTAGAGGTGATGAGGATACCCAACCAACATCACCACCAACAACAACAAGCTCCAATCACCATTAACGGGAGAAACCTAAAGGAAGTAGTCTCTTTCACCTACCTAGGCGGCATCGTTACAACTACAGGCGGCACAGGCAGAGATGATGACCTCAAAACCAGGATCGGAGAAGCAATACAGGTTTTCATTATTCTGAAATCAGTGTGATCTACTGCACTCACCATAAACAACAACATCCGGGTTTTCAACACCAACGTCAGTCAAGTCTGTGCCGCTATGTGATGGTTCAGAAACTTGGCACTTCACGAAAAGCATTTCCAACAAACTATAGATATTCATCAACAACTGCCGCCTACGCTCGCCCCATATTGACACTGAAGATCAGATGGCCAGAATAATAAGAATAAGCAACAAGGAGCTGTGGCAGTAACGAAACAACAAGAGAACCTATCACCCAACAAATATGCAGAGTAAAATCCAAAGGGGAAACGATGATTTGGACATCCGAGACGACGGTGAGGAGATTGTGTAAGGAAGAAATGAAAGCTTGTGGCGCCAAGTTGAGAAGACTGCAGAGAATAGAGTGTGCAATGGAGGCGTACTACTGAAGCCCTATGTTTCAGTAGGAACCCCAAGGGAAAAATATTAATAATAATAATAATAATAATAATAACAACAACAACTAGATGATGAACCAAAGAAAAACACACATAATAAACAACTTTTAAAAATACATTTAATTAGGCTTACTTCATTAGCATACTGTAGTACATGAACCAAGTATTGATTTAATTCCTTGTTAAGGCGTTCCAAGTGCATAACTAATGTGAGATAAGTGTGTTGAAACTCTAAGGATAATTCAGCTTTGTTTGAAATCTATATTCAAAGTAAGGCATATCTATACTACTAACCTTTCTTTCAGCTTCATCATTCAAATCTTGTAGTTCATCAACACAACGCTTTTTAACTTCTAAGATTTTTGACAGTTTTGTCTGTAAAAATAAAAGTAATTTTAATGAAAATTATTAAAAAAAAAAAAGAGATTTTACTTATCATATGAAATTTAACATAGAGTAGTTGTACTGGACGATAAAACATTCATGTGAAAATCTGTAGCTAGCTGGATGTAAATGTTCGGTTTTATTTACCCAATGGATTGGTGGAGGTGTTGTTCCCTGGCTTGGGGAGTTGATTTTCAATCAGTCGGTCATGGCTTTGAGCCTCACCACATCTACCGAGGTTCAGGTATTATTATTATTATTTGTCCCTTAGGTTCCTAGTCGAACATAGGGCTTCCGTAGCACGTCTCCACTCCACTCCACTCCACTCTCTTCTCTGAAATCTTTTCAACCTGACTCCACGACTGCCTACAACCTCTCATTTCTTTCTCACGCCATCTCCTCCATGTCATTCTCACCTCGGATGACCAACTCATCGTTTCCAATCTGCGTTCCACTCAATGGCCTGCCTTGGCACATCATGTCCCTGAATGGTCTTCTCAGTGTATGCCCAGTCCAATCCATCTCCACTTCCTTCCAATGCATATTTGTTCAGCCATAGGTTCTTGGTTAGTTCGTTTCCAGAGTTCCTCGTTGCTTATTCGTATTACTCTGGCCATCTGAGTTTCAGTATCAGTATCGAGCCAGCGTCGGTGGTGGCAGTTGTTGATGAATGTCTGTAGTTTGTAAAGTGGAGGATACAAAAAAGGCTTAAGGTGTTTGACCACCGTTGCCTTCGTAGTATAGGCCGCCGTATTCCGTGGTGTCACCATGTGAGTAATGCAGAAGTTAGGTGTAGAGTTTTGGGGAGAAGAGGTAAATCAGTTGACAAGGTTGTGAACCTTCATCGACTGAGATGGTTGGGACACGTACTGCGTATGCCTAGTCACCGACTGCCTCGTCACACAATGTTGGCTGAGGTGGGTCCAGACTGGAAAAAGGTCCGAGGTGGCCAGACTAAAACATGGCACCAATGTATGAAGTCTCTGACTGTTGGTTTAAGCCATGTGGAGCAATACAGACTAGGTGGTTGGGGTCCACGGGATAAGAGGAACCGGTGGTTGGAGACCCTAGGTGATATGGCTCAGAACCGAAGTCAGTGGCGCAGACGTATACACACATTATCCTCATCTTAACAACGCTATACCGAATCTCACCATTTTGTCACTCCTCTTTCCTTTCTTCTCGTACTTTATATTTCTTTTGACTGCATTCTCTTATCTTCATCCTTCGCCTCACTACCTTTTACTTGACGTGCTGATATGAGGTGTGGCAACTCGGACCGTTACGCAGTAATGCCTGATCCTATGTTGATAATGATGATGATGTCTGTAGTTTGTTGGAAATCCCTTTCGTAATGCGCCAAGTCTCCGAACTATACAAAAGTACTGACTTCATGTTGGTGTTGAAAATCCAGATCCTCTTCTTTATGCTGAGTGGAGTGCAGAAGATCTCCACACTGCTTTCAGGTTAATGAAAGCCTCTCTGGCTTTTCTGATCCTGGCTGGTTTTGACATCCTCGTCTGTGCCGCTGCCGCGTGTAGTTGAAACAGTGCTGCCCAGATAGGTGGGTAGGTGAAAGAGGCTACTTCGTTTAAGTTTCTCCCGTTGATGGCGATTGGAACTTGTTGTTGTTGGTGGTGGTGTTGGTGTTGGTTGGACATCTTCATCACTTATACCTCTGTCTTCTCTATATTCACTTGAAATCTCGTTTTCGCTGCCTCACCTCTTCTTTCAATTTGTTGCATTTTGCCTATACATCTTCGAGTTTGCGCGACACTTAACATAAGTCATCGGCAAAACCCAAATCTTCTAGGGTCTTCTCATCGGTCCAGCCAGCCTATGCCCATCTTCTCGCTCCTCACTGTTTGCTGCATGATCCAGTCGACTACAATCAGTCAATCAATCCTTCCTGTCTTCACTTCAAAGGCATCACTGAACTTTCCTCCCATTGTGAATTACTTGACATGTGGCGTTTTCATCCAGTTGTTGAATGAGATTGATAAAGGTTTGTGGTATTCCGTAGTGTTGAAGCAACTGTCTGCCAAATTACTTCTCGGTTGACGCTGTCAAAGATCTTTTCAAAGTCGATGAAGTTGAGATAGAGTTGAGTTGACTGCCTTTCTGTACTCTGTTCTATGATGATGCATAGAGTAGCGTTGCAATTTGGTCCACACATGATTTGTTCTTCTTGAAGGCAACCAGCCTGTTTCGGTCGTAGTTTTGAATCCAACTCCAGGTGATAAATATCCTAATCCCTCATACAATAAGGTTATTGAATGCATTTCAATTTCGATTCGACTCAATCCATTCATATTGATTATAATTGTTAGCTGATTGAAGATTGCCTGGATAGTCTAATTAAAAAAAATGCTGTAGTCACGTATATACTTGACCTGAGACTAGAATTCTTAAGAATAAATCTCTCTCTCTTAATCATCTCTTACACATTAAGACTATAAATGCTTGAACATGATCAAATTTATAAGCAAGCATCAATCATCCTAAATCTGTTCACTTAAAATAATCATAGATATACAGTACAATTTTGGGATATTCAAGATTAAGGAACAGTTATTCATCTTATCTCAATTTGTGTGGATGCATAATTCACTGATCTAAGTACTCAACTTTCAACCAATGAGCTTTAAGATTCCAACCCTACCTACTCTAATCTGAGAAGTCGGAGAGTAGTATCACCAACCATTAGACAGTGTGGTTAATCGTGTATAGTGTGTACATATATCAATCAGTACCGCATAGCCGAGTAGTATAACACCGGTTCATGAAGTTAATGCCTATCGCTTATGAATCTGTAGTAAAGTAAGGATATAAAAGAAAACGAATATTACGAAAACTAAATTTATACAGTTTTACAACTGATGAATATATAAACTAAGCAAAAGTATCTTACCACCATGACTAGAAACTTCATTGGATAGCCACCGTATATATCAGCTTCATTGAGTAGCAATCGACCGCCTGAAGGTTCATTCAATGATAATGCAGCACTTCCCATCGATGCTGCAACATCACCACTACTAATTGCAGGAAGTTTCAATGGAGCAGATAAGAGATTATTACTGGCCATGAAGCCTGATGTTCTTGTAGATGGACTACCACCTACAGCTCCTCCACTAGCTGCAGCAGCCTCTGATTGACATAATGGACAATCATGGACAGTTAAATCACCAGATCCACTACCACTTTGATTCATTCCGTGTCCAAACTTATGATGGTGCATATGATGACGTTTCCCCTACACACAGTAAAGAATAGAGGGTATACTCATAATTTAAAGATGAATAACTCAGTCCTTCAATATCAGTTGTACTAATGACTCTGATCAATATGACTGATGGAATCTGACTCAGGGAATAGCAGACAAATAACAAAATATACTTCAACTTTAATAAAAATATATTAGAAAAGATTTCTACCTAGAAACTTATCTACAGCAAAAGACTACTGGATGTTATTTTACAGGAGATTCTGTCTAGAATACGCTTGGTATCCCTAAATAACAGTGATCAACAACAACAACAACAACGAATTCATGCTTTCTTATAGGTATGGAACTATATCCGTAGAGCCTAGGCATTATCACTGAGTATAACATAAGCCATAAACCGAATAACCTTTAAAATCAGTAATGCTATAACTATACTGCTAGAGACAATTTACCAACAACTAAATTAACATACAGTTGTATTTATGAATATAAAGATATCAGTGAACTTGCATATGTCAGTTCTCATTCAGCTATTGTCACACTATAAAATGTACCCAAAAATGTATGCAAGGAGGTATTTAGGTCTTAGATAACTGAAAAATGACATTCTTCAGTGAAAAAAAAATTTAATCTATATAGAGATGAGGAAAAAAAAGTAGCTTTTATCAACCACCGTTTAGCTGGTTGGTTATTATCACACATCAGGATCCACTTTTTGAGATGTTTTTATTAGAGATTAGGTTTTTTTTCAATAAAATATCATTTGAATCTATAGAATGTTCACGTCTACCGTAATATCAACAGCATTAAAAACTTGTATATACAAGGTTTACAGTGGAGATGTAGACGAATGGCTTAGGAAGTCGACTTTTAAGCAATGGACACCGGGTTCGAACCCCTCACTCCCACCACTACACCGACTTCAACGTAGGCATCCAAGTAGGATTACAAGAAGTGTAGCTCATATCCTTGTACATAAACATGTAACGGGTTGAATTACATTACTTATTACCAGGTATGGCAAAAATTGGTGAGTGCTTTACCAATTGTCAAGTGGTTGGTTATCTGATAATCAAAGCACTCAACTGCCACACAAAATAAAACAGTAAACATACATAGGGAGGTCAGTGAGACAACTAAATACTTCCTTGAGAAGGAATACAAAGGATGATGATAACTACAGTCATACTGAAAGTTTTGGCCATATAAAAAAACTAGTTCGGAGGGTAATCAAACTACCAGAACGCTCTTGACATTAACGCTGTTGCTTTGAAGCAGATAATTATTTTGCGACCACACGATCAGCATAATCAACTAGTCATTTGAAAAACGAGAGCGTACAGGTGAGTAGTGACTAGTGACTTTTCTTCCGCCCAACAGATGAACAAGGTTAATTTTTGCATGACATCATGAAATTGGTTTAATACACCAATAACATGCAAATATTAATTCTAGAACTGCATGGGAATCAATGAGTTATTATGCCTCTGCTTAAACTACACAGAGACAGTCAGTAAGGTAGATGGTATGCCGATAAAAAATCCTCAAAAACGCCTGGAACGCTGAGCGGAACACTTTGAAAAGCAGTTTAACTGGCTCTCAGCTTCAGTGTGTCGTGTTCCATGGCCAGTTAACACTGACCCACCAAACGAAGCGGAGGTCAATAAGGAACCCCAAGGCAGCCAGCCCAGACAACTTACTCCATGGCTGAATGAGTGTTCCAGCACTCGGAAATGAAGTCATTATTGTACCCATCTTTAAAAAAGGTCGACGCAATGTAGGTGACAACCATCAGGGCATTAGTCTGTCACAGTCACATCGAAAATATTGGCTGTCGTCATACTTTGTAGACGTGCGAAAATGATTCGTGAGGAGCAAGTCGAGTTCCGTTCCGGTTATGGATACGTTGACCATGTGTTTACTCTCCGCTAGATGCTTGAACATTGGCAGACGTATTGTAGACCAAAGGCCGTTGTGTTTCTTGACATTAGGGTTGCCTTTGATTCGTTGTACTGTGACAGTGTCTATTAGAGAGGGGCGTACCTAAGGAATTTCTCAACATCTTGAAAGCCCTATATAATAACGCCTCAGGTAGAGTGACGGCATACAACCACCTGTCTCCATTGTTCAGAACCAGCAGTAAGGTTATGCAGGGTTGCCCGATTTCTCCATTCGTCTTTAACTTTACCATCGAAGATATTCTTGAGACAGCTCTAGAAGAAGTGCGTGATGATGGTGTAGATCTAAAACCCGAAGAACGGCTATTCGACCTTGAATATGCGGATGATATCGTCTTACTGTGTGATAACATAAAGGCTACTCAAGTCACACTTAATCAGTGATTTGGACCATTGAAGTGAAAAATATTTTTCTAAGTTTAGCAGGAGCCTGTGCTTGCACTCACCCTTGGTGGTGAGCCATTGGGAAAGTGGGAAAGTTCGTGTATCTGGGTAGTTTTGTGAATCCTGGTGGGGGTGTGTGATGAAATTTCCAAACACATATCGAAGGCATACGTCAATCTGGGCCACCTTTGGCGCCATCGCGACGTTAGTCTGGTCGTAAAAAGTTGGGTTTATAACCCTTCGGTGAGAGCAATTCTGCTCTACGCCTGTAAAACTTGGCCTCTTCCTGCTGAGGGTGACCGATAGCTCTGTGTGTTCGATCATTGTTATGGCCGTAGAATAGCTCGTATCCAGTGGCATCACTGTGTAAGTAATCCTAAGGTACGACAGTGTACGTTTAGGTATGATGGAGATCATCATTCAATAAGTGAAGTCATTTGGAAACAGCGGCTTCGATGGGGATGTCGTCCCAACGGCTTCTTGTGAATGGATGAAAAAAGTGGATAGGTTGTCAGTTTATAACATGGTGCCGTGGGATGAAGGATAGTTGTATCGGGAGAGCATCTGTCAGTGCACCACGACTCTCTGGGTGAGGTCCGAGAGTTCACGCAGCTGAGTAGCTTGAGACGTTATCAGATATGGTTCACAACAGAAACTAGTGGTGGTCATGCTGTAGCTTCTATCTTCTGCTGCTGAAAAGCAATGAACATTTTGTTTGGAATGTACCTTACTGAATTTCCCTTCCAATCACGGAATTGTTTTCCTTTCTTACTTATCCATTTCTCATAGTTGATGCCTTGACATTGTTGTTACACTAATTTAGGTGATGCATTTCTTGGTGTCCTTTTTCTACCATGTCTTTATTTTAATATTTACGATTACTATTTGTCCCTTAGGTTCCTAGTCGAACATAGGGCTTCCGTAGCACGTCTCCACTCCACTCCACTCCACTCTCTTCTCTGAAATCTTTTCAACCTGACTCCACGACTGCTTACAACCTCTCATTTCTTTCTCATACCATCTCCTCCATGTCATTCTCACCTCGGACGACCAACTCATCGTTTCCCATCTGGGTTCCACTCGACGGCCTGCCTTGGCACATCATGTCCCTGAATGATCTTCTCAGTGTATGCCCAGTCCAATCCATCTCCACTTCCTTCCAATGCATATTTGTTCAGCCATAGGTTCTTGGTTAGTTCGTTTCCAGAGTTCCTCGTTGCTTATTCGTATTACTCTGGCCATCTGAGTTTCAGTATCAGTATCGAGCCAGCGTCGGTGGTGGCAGTTGTTGATGAATGTCTGTAGTTTGTAAAGTGGAGGATACAAAAAAGGCTTAAGGTGTTTGACCACCGTTGCCTTCGTAGTATAGGCCGCCGTATTCCGTGGTGTCACCATGTGAGTAATGCAGAAGTTAGGTGTAGAGTTTTGGGGAGAAGAGGTAAATCAGTTGACGAGGTTGTGAACCTTCATCGACTGAGATGGTTGGGACACGTACTGCGTATGCCTAGTCACCGACTGCCTCGTCACACAATGTTGGCTGAGGTGGGTCCAGACTGGAAAAAGGTCCGAGGTGGCCAGACTAAAACATGGCACCAATGTATGAAGTCTCTGACTGTTGGTTTAAGCCATGTGGAGCAATACAGACTAGGTGGTTGGGGTCCACGGGATAAGAGGAACCGGTGGTTGGAGACCCTAGGTGATATGGCTCAGAACCGAAGTCAGTGGCGCAGACGTATACACACATTATCCTCATCTTAACAACGCTATACCGAATCTCACCATTTTGTCACTCCTCTTTCCTTTCTTCTCGTACTTTATATTTCTTTTGACTGCATTCTCTTATCTTCATCCTTCGCCTCACTACCTTTTACTTGACGTGCTGATATGAGGTGTGGCAACTCGGACCGTTACGCAGTAATGCCTGATCCTATGTTGATAATGATGATGATGTCTGTAGTTTGTTGGAAATCCCTTTCGTAATGCGCCAAGTCTCCGAACTATACAAAAGTACTGACTTCATGTTGGTGTTGAAAATCCAGATCCTCTTCTTTATGCTGAGTGGAGTGCAGAAGATCTCCACACTGCTTTCAGGTTAATGAAAGCCTCTCTGGCTTTTCTGATCCTGGCTGGTTTTGACATCCTCGTCTGTGCCGCTGCCGCGTGTAGTTGAAACAGTGCTACCCAGATAGGTGGGTAGGTGAAAGAGGCTACTTCGTTTAAGTTTCTCCCGTTGGTGGCGAATAAGCATAAGCATCACGGAACTCTGGAAACGAACTAACCAAGAAGCTATCGCTGAACAAATATGCATTGGAAGGAAGTGGAGATGGATTGGACTAGGCATACACTGAGAAGATCATTCAGGGACATGATGCGCCAAGGCAGGCCGTTGAGTGGAACCCAGATGGAAAACGATGAGTTGGTCGTCCGAGGTGAGAATGACATGGAGGAGATGGTATGAGAAAGAAATGAGAGGTTGTAGGCAGTCGTGGAGTCAGGTTGAAAAGATTTCAGAGAAGAGAGTGGAGTGGAGTGGAGACGTGCTACGGAAGCCCTATGTTCGACTAGGAACCTAAGGGACAAATAATAATAATAATGATAATAATCTTTGTGTACTACTGTAAAGTGTGGCAAATTGAACCGATGCAACTGTCCGTGAGATTTTTCTGTAAACAAATACACCCATAACAGCTAGCGTATCTCATATAAAATTAGATAATGCTGGTTGTAAACAGAATGATACGTGATATAAGTATGAAATATCATATTCAATGGTCTATAAGGTCTAAAGGTAATGGCGATCGAAAAAAAGTGTTTAAATGAAAACGTGGCTCCAGACTTTGAATTCAGTGTGCGCCATACTGAGTCGTAGACTACTGAGATGCTAAGAGGTGCAATTCGAAAGTCAGCAGTAACACTCTAACTTCATTTCGTTTACTTAAAACTTGGTTTTTCCTTTCATTATTTAACATTTATCTCTTTTTTATATATGTCTATTTCATTTTTCCACACAATTAAAAGTGTACACTCACCAGTGGTTGGAGTTCTTAATACAAACAACATTGATCACGGTGAAGTAGGTATGCGCACGTCTGATTTCCTACTCCAGTTTCAGAAATCTTGTCATCATGTCTTCGACTCCCTATTATTTTTATTCATGATTACTTTAATAACAGACGACATCATTATTAGTATTCATTTACCCTCTCACTTGCTCATCTGCTTTAACTGTCTATATTGATAGTTGGAGTCCGCGGGACAAGAGGAACCAGTAGTTGATGACTCTAGCTGATGACATGGCTCAGAACCGATGTCAGTGGTGCAGATGTATCCCCATAGACATTATCCTCATCTTAACCACGCTATACCGAATCTCACCATTTTCTCATTCTTCCTTTCTCCCTTTTCGTACTTTATACTTCTTTTGACTGAAGTTTTTTATCTTCATCTTTCTACATCACTATCTTTCTACTTGATGTGTACTGATATGAGGTGTGGCAACTCGAACCGTTACGCAGTAATGCCTGTTGATATTGATGATGACGATTGATGTGTAATGCAAAGATTAGGCTCGATACCCAAAAACACAATGTCTCGTCATTTATTCACATCAATTTGTAAACTTGTGAGAAAAGTTGGTTGTTGCATACACTAAAGTTCTCTTATAAACAGGGTTGAACTCAAAAATCAGTACCAAAATTACTGACTCTGTGGGATAGACATAAGAGTATAATAAAGAAGTATAATAACTGATTAAGAATTAAGTGATTACAATAATGTAACTGAACCATATTTAAATCAAATGAAAAGGGGTGATTAATTGTTAAACCAACTAGTTACCTGTAGAGCGGATTGAGCCAATAGTCGAGCTGGACTCATAAAAAGATTACGGCTGGCTTTATGTTGAGTTTTATATGCAGACAAAGGAATAGTTTCTTGTGGTAAAATACTTAAAACTTCATAGTCAGGTATTGATCGAGTGCCAAGAGCTGGTTTATCGAATGTTACTCGATAACAATGTCTGAGAGCGTCAATAGCATCGACTTTCCCAGTGTATAAACCATCAGTTGGATAACGAACTCTGTAATTCATTTAAATTAAATAAATACTGAGAATTACAAGAAAGTTTAACATATTTTAACGGAAAAATCCCAAAACATATTGAAAATATGCTTTAAGGGTTAGTTCTTTGATAAGATGATGCTTTAAGTGAATTATTCAGATATATATATATATATCAACCACATTCATGTGTGCTGTAGGCAATTAGCCATATATTGTGTGACCATTAATGATATAACGTGGCCATCAAAATTTTGGCAGACAGACAGACAGATAAAATCAACGTAGGATCTGGTATCAGTGAGTAATGATCCAAGCTGCCACACTTCGTAGCACTACATCAGTCAACCAATCAATCAATCAATATCAACATAGGAACAGGCATTATACTGCGTAACACTCCGAGTTGCCACACCTCATCTCATATCAGTACACATCAAGTAGAAATGCAGTGAGGTAAAGGATAAAGATAAGAGAATGCAGTCAAAAGAAATATAAAATACGAGAAGAAAGAGAAGAGGAATAACAAAATGGTGAGATTCAGTATAGCATGGTTAAGATGAGAATAATGTGTGTGGGCATACATCTGCACCACTGACATCCGTTCTCAGCCATGTCACCACCTATAGTCAGTCTCCAACCACTGGTTCCTCTTGTCCCACCGACCCCAACCACCTAGTCTGTATTGCTCCACATGGCTTAAACCAACAGTCAGAGACTTCATACATTGGTGCCATGTTTTAGTCTGGCCACCTCGGGCCTTTTTCTAGTCTGGACCTACTTCAGCCAACATTGTGTGACGAGGCAGTCGGCGACTAGGCATACGCAGTACGTGTCCCAACCATTTCAACCGATGAAGGTTTATAACCTCGTCAACCAAGCACCAAGATAAAAGAAATCATCAAAAACCAGTCAGATAAGCGACCGCTTCACGTGGCTTATTGGCCTACGAGCTTGACATCTAAATAATGAATCATATGGTTCAAATCCTACTACATATACATTTTGACCTAGACACAAATTAGTTCTCAGCTTAGTATTTATACACATAGAATTTCTCAGTTACAGTAGTCAGAATTTAAGCCTGTTATTATAGTTGATTGTTATTTGTTCTAATATACTACGCCGGGATTATACAAGTAAAAATACACCTTATACAGTGATTACCTTAATGCCTAATACACCAGTACTATTTAGAGCTTTCAAAACGATTTTGTGCTTGTTTGGAGGTCAGTTACTTCGACAATTAACAGTCATAACTGAATCGACTCCTTAGTCTTTATTCCTCAGAGGAATTTATAATTATCTCCATCATAATTTTGTACAGTGTAATCAATCAAGTTATTTTTTCAGGGAAGTAAGTTTCCCGAATAGCTACTCTGAAATAAAAATCTTGCCTGAAAAACAGTAGCCGTAAAACAAATGAAGACAGAAAACTGATTCACTTTCGTTGGGATTGTGCTAAGCCATCGTGATGGATATCTTTGTAAAAGTTATGAATACCGAGACTCTAGTTATTCGGCCATGTTGTAGCTAACAGTTCCCTTGATGTTCTCTCCTGTTTCTCCCCTCCATATTATTATATGACTGAGACTAAAGTAGGAGTTAGTGTCAATCTTGTTATTTGTCGTTTTCAGAAAACCTGACTCAACCAGTCAACATTTTCAGTACGATGCGAACCATCCATCCAGATCAACCTAGGACCAGGTATTACTGCGTAACGGTCCGAGTTACCACACCTCATCCCATATCAGTACATCAAGTAAAAAGGCAGTGAGGCGCAAGGTGAAGATAAGAAAATTCAATCAAAATAAATATAAAGTACGAAAAGAGAGAAAGGAAGAATGAGAAAGTGGTGAGATTCGGTATAGCGTGATTAAGATAAGGACAATGTATGTACACATCTGCGCCACTCACATCGGTTCTCAACCATGTCACCTGGAGTCTCCAACCCCTGGTTCATCTGGTCCCGTGAACCCCAACCACCTAGTCTGTATCGCCCCATATGGCTCAAACCAACAGTCAGAGACTTCATACATTGGTGTCATGTTTTAGTCTGGCCTCCTCAGGCCTTTTTCCAGCCTGGACCCACCTCAGCCAACATTGTGTGACGAGGCAATCGGCGACTAGGCATACGTAAAGTGTCTGAAAGAGATTTGTGTGACCGCAGAGCCCATCGGACATCTGCTTCAGGCCTGTCACACACAGCCTTTTGTGTATGATTATTTTGAACTTTTGTATTTTTGGGGCCGGATGGTTGAAAAGAAACGACAAATGAACCAACACCGCTAGCCCGGCAGACCGTAGGGCATGGTGGAGTATGTTGTTTTTGGGGCCAACCTTTTCTAACCGCCTCCCATTGAGAAAGCAGCATCAGCATGGCCCTGCTGGTCATTAAAGGGAAACACCTTACTGCTGTCACACCCCATCCAGCTAACAGCAGTACGACTTCGCCCTCAGACCCCCATCATAGTGTAGTAATTTACACCACAACGGTAACTGCTTTTCGTCTAACCACTATCCAACAGACCTTTCTGGTATGGCAGGACCTCGAGGGAACAAGTGTTCCACTAGCACAGCTCGTTGGGTCATTGTGATATGCAAGCTCGACCAACACGTCAAGGGAGCAGCTATCGGTCGAGACGATGCGAACCAACAACAAGCAAACAGATTATTTAAGACAGTTATACAGTCAATATCACTGTAGGGTCTAATACTACTGCTTAACGGTCGGTCTGTTATCACATATATCGGTACATCACGATACAAAGCAGCGAGATGAAAGATAGAGAAATAGGAAAAGAAGTAATCAAAAGTTGTAATACGCCATAAAGAAGCACAGACAGAATCAACGTAGAAGTGCATCAGTTCAATTTGCCACACTTCACAGTACTATACAAAGAGCAGGTGTGTAGAAAGAATGGTATCCAAGTAGACGGAGTTGAGTGAGAGAATAAACAATCTGAAGATAACAGTCAGTTCAAATATTCTGGCTTGAGAAAATATCAAAGAGTGAATACATTTGCGCCATCATTGCAATTAACTTTTTAACCATGTCACTAAGTTCACAACCATTGATTCCTTTTATCTTGGGCACCCCAACCAGACAGTCTGTATCTTTCTATACGACTCAGATCAACAGTCAAAGACTGCATCGACTAGTCCCAGGTTTCGGTCTGGCCAGCGTGAACCCTTCTCCAACTTCCCCTAGCATGGGATGTCGAGGTAGGTGGTGGTTTGGCATGCTCAGTACATGTCCAAGCCATCTCAGACGACTAAGATTCATGAGGGAAAACGGGCTGAAATAATAAAGAAATATGACATGACGATTTCGATGAAGATAACGTGTAGACGATGTAACTGGGCCATGGAGATTGATTCTCATTTATATCACAGCTAGTTAGCCTGTTCTTCAGCTACTTACATTCTTATTACATCTGGCATTCTCCGAGTATTTCGGTCTATTGAACCATTATTGAAGTGACTCACGCTTTGCTACAGAAATCGAACCAGCAAATTAGTGTTACGCAAAGTTTTGGTCACACTTAACCTCACTTCATTATAACTATATTTTTAATGAATATTTACACACAAAGACGTTATTTAGTCTGGGTGTGTAAACATTCATTACAAAAATATTTATAATAAATTCTCTCCACAAATCTTTTCGTGGCCAAAGCTTTCTATAGTATTCCACACTACAACATGTTCGGTAAATTCGCAAAAGTGGGTATCACTGAACCACTCAGCATGCTTTACAGCATGTCTAGAAGATAGAGAATTCTGTAAGCAGAATCCGATCAGCCTAGAGGAGTGCAACAGGAGTTTCTTAAGGACCCATTCTTGGGTCACTCTTAGTTTTACCACTCATCAATGACCGTGACATTAAAATTTCGTCTATCTTCCTGTTTTCCGACATCAAAATATGGAGGACAATAGGTAGGAAAGAAGATTTTAGGATACCTCAAAAAGATCTGTCACAGCTGGAGTCCTGGTCAGCTGCCAGTAATTTAGGCTTCAACCTGGAGAAATGCGAAGTGACGTATCTTTGTATACCAGAAGCGATGAAAACCAGCTACAGCCCCAACAAGTGCGCAATCACCAAGGTGTCCATAGAGGACCTAGGACTAACCTTCTCTGATACACTGGGTACTACTGCCAACTATAACGGAATGGCAGAAAAGGCGAACGTCATCATACACTTTCTAAGAAGGCAGGTAGAAGCGCCAACTTGTTATTACTTATGGTGTTTAAAACCTATGCTAAACCACACCTAGAGGTATTTAACATGACAGCCCACCCCCTCTGCTAGAGACACGAATGCTCTCGATAAAGTACAGAAAGAGGCGAGAGGATTGGCTGTCAGACAGACAGGCAAAACATATGCATCACGCATCAGAGAACTCGACTTATTCACCTAAAGCTATCGAAGGAAAAGATGTGATCTAGTAACAGCCCACAAGATCATTCACCAAGTGGACCACTCCAACAGGTCGACATTAACGGCCAAAAACTGAGTTTTGTAGGAACCCCATTAGCATACCCCACCACTAGATAAAGATGAAAGACCGAACTACTCCTCATCCAGGGTATGTGCCTTATGGAATGCTCTACCGAAAGTAGCCACAGCTACATCAGTTGACTCCTTCAAAGACTACTGGATAAATACGTGAGCACAAACGGCTTACCACGAACATCTGTCGGTAGCAACTGTAGATATGCTCATCCCCCTGCATTCCCCAACCCTAGTATATGCAATAAGACACATCCCTTCCCCGTATTATTGCCATTAACACATTTCTCCGTAAGTACTGGTCACTCCTTTTTCTCATTCCCCAAGCCCTATTTCTAGCACCCTTTAAGTAACGTTTAATGCCTACTTGCATGTGCATACAAAATAGTAATTGTCAAAGGTTAATTGATGTTATCAGCAGCCCCATTGCCCTCCCGAACAAACCAAGATACAAGATGCAAGAATAAATACCTGCAAATAGACAATCACTACTTCCGGGGCTACAAGCAGGAAAAACGTTAAGACTACTGAGACCACTCAATAACAAGAACCGAACCTTAAGACCTAGGAGCGATAGCTTAAAAACTACAAGTCTTCTCTAATCGCACTATTGACGTTGGAAACCAACTTGTCTAACGGAACATCCACAATGTGTCCAAATATGGGCAGAACTACAGACACGATAATTCTACCAATGCATTACTATCTCAACAGATGGACAAATCGACATATAAGTGAAGAAAAACTCGGAGAATAATAACAGAAACTGGTAAAAACAAAACGTGTACGAATAACGCTTACCTAGCCGTTATTTTAGTCCCGATTATTAACGGCATTGGAACGTGCATATCGTCCGGAAGGTCTCTTAAGAATTCCAGCTGCACTGATCTTGTGGCCTGTAAAGTACGTATTTTTTCCCTTTTTTCGTTCAGAGAACGACGTTCTTCATCAAAAAACGCCGTGGAACAACGACGAGGTTTCCCCATCAAACGTCGTAGTAATGACCAATGGGCCCGAGATAATCTTCGAGTCTTAACATTTGGAAAACTTTCACGGAGGCAAATACGGAAATCATTCTCACCTAGTAGTAAAGGTCTGAAGGAATAATTTGTTTAACTTTCACCTACCTATCCAAATTGGAATAAAACCATTCATAAAACACCCATTTGTGGGCTTTTGGTAATTTTAGAACATTACGTAGACGAACAGCATTTGTTTGTGCCATTCTTCTTTCTGGGTGGTGCATTTGGGAACGCCATGGCATATGCCCAATCATTGACTTATGCTTAAACCACAAAATGTTACAAATACAGGCATACTAGTTTCTGAGGTTTTCTGACTTTCTGGACCGTTTCCTCTGGTTGTACATGTGGTCTTGGGGATTGAAGTAGTCGAGGTTTGTAGCTAGTTGGTGGTTCGTAATAGTCATCTGAATAGTATCGGTTTTTCTTCCGAATGCGAGGAGGCTAGAACAATGTTATGGAGCGCAGAGAAACACCTACATTTTTTCTGTAAGGACTGTTGTACTCTTCCCCTTCATCCCCAGAATCTACAAAAAGAGATAAACTTCCAAATTCTACTTACAATTTTGGACATCCGACGACATTTTGAATCAAAATGCCGGTGAGCAATGAGTAGAAAAAGGCGGAACGTGTTCAATGGCCCCTTCACCCGTAGCTTGTTGCACCCAGTTCCATCTTCAAACTTTGCATTTACACTAATAAAAAGAGCAGATCAGTTTTATGAGTGTTCATCGTTGTAGTAATATTCTTAATTACAGAATCACGCCTCACAATGACGTCGCGAAAACATGCTGATACTCTCAGCTATTTCTTGCATGCATTGCCGTAGCACATTTGAAGCCCATAATTTGCGATTCTAGGTCTTAGAAACGTCTGTGGTTCGAATTGCCATGCTGACGTCTTCATACCAAACAATGATAAGCAACCATTAATACTAGACGAGGTCTCAGTGCACACCATGCTACTTGGCAACAGCTCATCGCCATTGGGTCGGATAGATATTTCGATGACAATTTGATGCCCATTGCTCTGGGATGCGCACCCAGTCACGGCGTAGTGTCATGCAGGTCCAGGTAGACGTATGAAAAGTCGGTCTTGAAATCAGTTTTCACAGATCAATCAAAGGGCGCTACAAACCGAAAAGAGTATCCACTATTTGTCCCAAGAGATCAAAATCTGCTCACTATCCTTCACTTGCTCATCTGATAGCCAGTGGGCTACACATTTCGCATGAGGGCAAATGATTCTACCTGGCTGTACAAACATATGCAGGTAGAGTAGGTTTCGAACCCATGGCCTGTCTGTTATGAGTCAAGAGCTTAGACAGATGAACCACAACTCCTTCACTGGCCATTAGCGACCACGTCGTAAGTTTGTTTAATTTCAGAATGCAAGGTTTCATCGATGATGGCGATCCTCCTCGACCAGGTGTTCAGTAGGTGGACACAGCAACTACGGATACCGTCGCTTTGGCTGACCAGTCTCTTGATGTAGGTTGTTCGATAGAGAAGGCTTTGAAAATGTTTCGGTGTAAAAAACGGGTAACAACACCACTTATCCCTCTGTCTATCCCTCAGAGACCTTCACGCAGACCAACATATTTAAACGGACAAACCCAAAGATCTTTAAAGTAAAAAAGTGCTCTTGTGATTTTTAAAAATACTTCAGATGGTGATGAATTCTGCCTGGAATATTGTAAGGTTGAATGTAAATGTGAGTCCGCACCCGGGCACGTTGCATAAAACACTAAAATTCGGTAAAGGATGATTGTTCTATGTTTCTTAAGCGCTTGTTCTCTCATTAAGAGAAGGACTGGGACTGGGGGCATTGTCTCATTCATGAAAAACAATATAAGAGAAAATAAGTAGACAGTATTTGCCTGGTACACGACCCAACGATTTGCAGGAGTTCCTCTTACTCAAGCCATGCTATAAAGACACTTCAAGTTACTCCACGAACCACACCAATTGTTTCGGCCTTTTGCTCTTCAAAACACATTCCTCAATAAAGATACCCGATTTCAGAACAATAGTCTTATTAACCGAACCCACAGTGTTACTAGCTGCTGAATCATAGTGTCCTCCCTAATCCCGGACGTAGGTCAACCATGCATGCCCATGTTCATCATGGTGCTAGTCATGACAGTGACCTCCAAAGATATCCATCTCTGTAGCGACAAAAATATAGAATACGAGGTGCTTATCGAGCGCCTCGGATCCACTTCACGGGACGATTGCTTCACAACAGCCTCATTAGCGGGCACACTTTCACTTTTCTGCAAAAATGCAACGTTTGCACCCGTCAAGGGATGCGACTCGTTTATCACGCAATGGGATGGTCTGCAATGACCTACCAATGATTTGTGAACAATTTGGTGAATCAACCACGAATTCGACCCTACCACTTCCAAATCCTCTGGTTTTGCCCTACCTATTATTATTATTTATTTATTTGTTCTGTGGGTTCCTAGCGGAACATGGCGCCTCAGTAGCACGTGTCCACTTCACTCTCTTCTCTGTAGTCTTTTGAACCTGGTCCCACGACTACCCACAACTTCTCATTTCTTCCTCACACGATCTCCTCTATGTCACCCTCGGGCGCCCAACTCCCCGTTTCCCATCTGGGTTCCACTCGACTGCTTTGTCTGACGCGTGATTTCCCCGAATGGTCTTCTCAGTGCATGCCGAATCCATCTTCACTCTCTTCAGCATAATAGTTGAACGATAGGCCCTTGGTTGGTTCGTTGCTAGGCAGCCAGAGTTCCGTGCTGCCTATTCTTATTATTGTGGCCGTCGGAGCTTCAATGATGAGCGTAGGCACTTGTTGACGAATATCTGTAGTTTGTTGGAAATGCTTTTCTTGACGCGCCAGGTCTCTGAACCATCACATGGAAGCACTGACTTGACATTAGTGTTGAGAGTCGGGATGCTGTTCACGCCTTATGCAGAGTGCCGAAGGTCTCTACACTGGTTTCAGGCTAATGAAAGCCTGTCTTGCTTTTTCGATTCTGCCTGGCCTTGACGTCCTTGTCTGTGCCGCCACCTGTAGTCGAAACAATGCCGCCTGGGTGGTAGTTGAAAGAGGCTACTTCTTTGCGTTTCTCCCATTGACGGTGATTGGAGGTTGTTGTTGTTGGCGGTGGCGTTGATTGGATATCATCATCACCTCTATCTTCTCTACGTTCACTTGAAGTCCAGTCCTCGCTGCCCTGCCTCTCCTGTCAACTTGTTAGCTCTCGCCTGTAGATCTTCGAGTTTGTGCGACATTAGACACAGGTCATCGGTGAAATCCCAGCCTTCTAGGTTCTTGTCCGCGGTCTAACCTATCCCCTTCTTCTCGCCCCTCACTGTTTGCAGCATGATCCAGTCGGCTACAATCAGGAAGATCATGGGTGACAGTAGACAGCCCTGTTTTACTTCTATCTTCACTTGAAAGGCTGTACTGAGCTTTCTATTGTGGATCACTTGGCATGTGGCGTCTTCATCTTATTGTTGAATGGGGTTGATAAAGGTCTGTGGCACTAAAATCATAGTGTTGAAGCAGTTGCCGAAGTACTTCTTTGTCCACGCTGTCGAAGACCTTTTCAAAGTCGATGAAGTTGAGTTAGAGGGTTGGCTGCCATTCTATACTCTGTTCCATGATGATGCGTATGGTAGGGTTGCAATTTGGTCCGCACATGATTTGTTCTTCCTGAAGTCAGCCAGCCTGTTCCTGCAGTAGTTTTGAATCTGTTTGGCTTCTCCAGGACGACGCGGCGTAATATTTCGCTTGTTGTGGACAGCAGCATCGTTCCTCGCCAGTTCTTGCGAAGGACTTAGGTCACCCTTCTTCAGGAGTTTGACAGGGTATCCTTTCTTTCAATCGCCAGGTACCTTTTACTCCACTTAATACGGGTTTATGTACCGGCACGGAGTTTACTGTCAAACGTGTCGCAGAGGTTGTGAATGGACCTGAGACTATCAACAGGTATGGGGAGGGATGGCCTAATCTCAGTAGCCCTTAAACTAGTCGCCACTCAGTATAAACCCAAGTACACAATTAATGGAGTTGTGCGAAGAAGTATCCTTAGGCGTTTGCTTCTATTATTCATACTGATAATGCGTAACTGCTTCACTACGGGTAGGCCGCTCCTATAGGCTGATGATGTGAACGCTATATATTCCTATCACGCCAGTGAGCTAAGCAGTACTTGAACTACCGCTTAGAAACATTTCAGCAAAGCTGAAACATGGTGTGAAGATTCCCACCCCAATTTTAACACTGATGGGTGCGGTTTGCCTACTAAATGCAGCGATTGCTCTGACTTGTCACTCAACGTGTGTGGACAAAAGCTACCTGGACGTTTGTCGACGCTAAACCTTGGTCTCAGAAATTCTAATGACCCAACATTAGCTGAACAAACAGCCTGCACCCTATCCAAGGCCTGCAAACTGCTTGAATGTAGCATTCGTTACGTTTACGATGCTGAATAAAGAGTTTTATCCCACAAAGTGTGCACCTGTCCACTTTCAGAACACTGCTTATTTATTCTCAGAGGCCTCGGTGTAAGTTGAGAACTGGAAGTAGAGGGAGAGCTACGCCACTTCACGATAAGAACATAGCCAACTGACTGCGGTCAAAGACTACCTCTCCGGATGTGGTGCACTAGGACTAGAACTCCTCTGGAAGTAGCAACTGAAACTGATTAATGATTAGTTTTCAAACACATGCACTGTCGAGGTCCGGAAATGGAACAAGTTTTGACGCCACCCTGAAATCTACGCATTAGTAAACTAATAGCTGAAACATGCTGCCGGATTAAGTTGCGTGCTAATTTCTTTCCCATTAAATTTCTTCACAAAAGAATAGGCTTGCTGTAGAAACATGTGCTACAACCTCATCACCGTTCCACACTTACTAATCCCCTCACAGGCGATGAGCCCGTCGCTCACTCAGCCACAGTCTATGAGTTCAGGGCTAATACGAATATACTGGGGCCTCCAAATATGTAAAAACTATGTTATCATTCTCAGGCACTGTTTGCCCCGGTAAACTCACGGGTGTTCAGAAAGTGCCTGTGATTACTAGTTAACCTTGATGCGCTGTGTGGTTGCAAAAGCACGAATGAACGTATTGTATACAAGGTCTTCTTGTTCCTTCTTTCTAATGAACGTTGCGTATCTAGAAACTTGTGCGAGCCTTGCCCTGAAAAAACAGTGACCTTGCCAATGCAGCTGTGGTCCCCCACTCTAAATTTAACTGTTACGGAGCCCAGAGTACAATCAGTGAACACAAAAGTCCAGGACAACATAGGAAAACAACTCCTGTATTTGGAACTGATGTTTTTTTGTACAGTTGATCGTAACACCACAAATGACCGGCGTTCACTTAGAACATTTACAAATTAATGCCGTTACAGTAATACAAAATACTCCTGATCGTATGTCTCCTGCATCCAAAGTGAGTTAACAGCCAAGACGCAGCACAGCAAAACTGTGGTGAACCTGTAACGACCAGCTGTTGGTATGTTTTTTATTCTCGCCTGTATTTAGGTACGGGCGTGTTGAGCGGTGTGAACTTGGCGGTGGCCACGAGAATCTGGAGA